GGTTCACACTAGTGCGAAAATAGTGTTACAACTCGCCATGTGAAACAAAAGTGAATGAATATTAAACAACATATAAGCCTCAAAAAAGCCTCAGTAGCCCCGGTTAAGCCGCAAACCGGTTAATCTGCCCCCCGATAATTGAGAGTTGACTGTGACTCCCACTAGGCTACTGCCTTAATGTAGTGGAGAGATCTGTCTGCCATGGTCACCTGAAGAGATATGTTAGTAAAAAGTAAAGCTATCCCTGTACCAGGCCGTGAAGGCCCATAGGGTTGTGAGACGTTGAGGGTCCCACATTTTCTAGACAATCGGCTCAAAGATGGCGGTAATGTCAGCCTTACATGCCGACCGTGCTTTACTCCCCAGGAAAATTATTTAATTAATTCCTGGTACTCATTTCTGTTAAGAGGCTGAGTCAACCCGAGGGCCATAGTGCGGCTGGAAGGATTATCTCAACTGAAAAAATCCAATGACCTCATCAGGATTTGAACCTGTGACCTTCCAGCTTGTAGCATAGCCCCTCAACCAACTACGCTACCACGTGCCCCAGAGATATGCTAGTGGAAGTGTAATCTCCTGGTAGTGTCCAGGAGTAGGGACCAGATGAAATGTAGTGTGTGGTACTCCAGCTTGGGGGCTGCATGTGAGGCTAACCTCACTTCAGAAGACAACAAATGTTAAAAAACATAGCAATGGAGGATGAATTAATAATTTATGGAAAATGAGTATAGCAAGGCCAGATAGAAAGCCACTTAGGATACCTAGGCATGGCTGCTGGGAGAATATTATAGCTGTGTTGGGAATGGATGCATGAAACACAGGACAGGATCCAGTGTCAGGTTCATGTGGACACAGATGGCTCTTTGGTTTCCACAAAAGGCATCACATAACTTCTTGAACAGCTCTCTGACCTCTCAAGACTCTCCACCATGACGTTTATTCACTGATATTTCAGGGGAATTTCTTAAACACAGTAATGCAACCACCGAATCACTAGCGGCAGCACTGGTGGTAGTAGATATAATGCTCAGGCACTTGAAAGAATTTCCATTTGACTCCTAGTGGGTTGATTCCTGAGGAGGTCACTGGATTCTAAAATTTACCTAATCCTTCCAGCCTAACTATGGCCCTGGGCTCAGCTCAGCCTTTAACAGAAGTAAAGGGGTAAAGGGAGGCCAGCATGTAAGGCTGACAACCTCATCGCCATGTGTGAGCTGACTGCCTGTAAAATGTGTGTCTTGACATCTCAAAACCCTATGGGCCTCCATGGTCTGTTACAGGCATTGCTTTATTTTTATTTAAAACAGTGCATTTTTGAAGATAGTCTTTATTCATTATGGAGGTTTCCTCACTGCATAAAACACACTGGTGATGGATAAATCGTCAGTCTGTGTAAATGAGCCACTACAGAATCATATTCTCTTCTCTAACCCTGGCTTCAAGTACACAAAAAAATACAAATTTCTTCATCCTCCAAAGTCTTGTGAAGTTCTGCTGTCTTAGCTAGGTTCAAACCACTGGCATTCCATTGACAAACTTTGACTTCATTCCAATTATCTTTCTGACTCGGATCTCTCATAGTAGTCTCTGCTCAAAAGTCCAGATCAGGAACTATTTTACCTCCAGAATATTTCACTTTGGCCAGGCCTGTGGCAAATACATTATAGGGATGTTATTTGAGCTTTAGTGTAGGTCGATTTATGTGGGCACCATTGTCAGCATATGTAAGGTGGTGATCTATATTGCCCACTTCTTTATACAGCATGTTCTTTGCAAACAGTGGACCAGATACACCACTCTTGCTTGGCCCCTTGAGTCTTATCTATAGAAACAGGCTGCACTGCTTGTAGGTAACGTTGGAAATTGGATAGGAGAGGTTGTAGATCAAATCTGTATCCCTGCAACCCCTAACACAAGCATAACAGCATGATTTGCACAATTTCAAGAAGCAATGCCAAATATTAAAGTGCCAAACATTGTACATGCATGGACTAAAACCATAATAAAACTTCTGCTCACCTTGTTGGTGGAGGGCTGGCTAGACAACATGGAATTCAGGCAGTCTAAGTGAAGCTGGTGTAAGCAGCGTGTCAAAGCAACCACCATGGGAGAACCTGGACTCATATCTTGGAGGCATATTGGGCATGGACTGTCCCGTTTTATCTCTGATGCTGTTACAACTAGAACAAATCGTGAAATACCAGCACTGGCAGCATCAACTCCCACAATAGAGCCACATGCTAGAGGTTGTTGTGGCACTGACATATTGTAACACTTGCTCGTGGGTTTCCTCCTGCCTCCTAATGCACTGCTGCCATCACAAGACGGTGGCTCAAACACATCTTCGCTGCTTCCACTGTAGTCTAGCAAGTTACCCTGCACACACAGATCACACATGCATCACAAACCTGTTTGGAAAACCTACAATAAGCTGGTTCCCATCAAAAGAACATTCCATGCTACTTGATGTAACTTTACAATGCTAATGGAAAAGAGAAAAATCTTACACTGCCAGGAATATCAAACCCTCGCCACCCAGCCCAGAGCCCATCATTACACTGAATGAGGTAGTCAGACTCATTTTAATTCCACATGTTCAATTAAGAAAATTAAATACCTATAGACATCTAGAGTAAGCACAGCATTATTTTCTAAGTACTATGGAATGCAAGAAAACCTCAGCATGCTAGGATAAATGATAGAACTCTTAGATCCTTGTCAGTATACTTGGAAACCTGCTGCCATTTCCAGCATGTACATTTTAAATGGCTTGCCACAGTTATGGTATAAACCAACCCACACTTTCCTTACATTCAATTTTTGTTTCCTGATTTTACACTTTCCTCAACTTTACAAAACGTAAAATTGAGGCTTTACCGCAGTAAGTGCAGTAAACTAAAGCTGATGTTTGACAAACACTCAAATTAACTAAGAAATTCACACTTCACTTGCTCTTGAATTCATAACTAAGGATGCAAAAACTGTATCAACACTAGACCTGCGAACAATTTTTGGGAGACCAAGGCACATAATTCCCAGTGGAAATACGTGCAGCTAATAACACTATTGTATGAAGCACACTGTAATTACCTGGGAAGTTCGCAGCCCACTGTCCTTGGACTCATGACTGAGGTACGTCGAAACTGTATCAACACTAGGCCTACGACCACTCTTAGTGCTGCTGGAGTCTGCATCCAAAACAGAATCATTGATTCCATTGTGTTTTACTGTGCTGCCAATTGTTTTTGGCACTGCCGCTACTGAAATACGAGGTACTGGTGCTGCACTGACTGGTACTCCACTGTTACTGCTATTACTGGCACTATTACTTCCTTTGTTGCCTGAAATACACATCAAACAATCCATGTTAACATACCTTATTTATATTGTGACATGTTGCGCAACGGAGACCCCCCCACCAGCAGTGACGCAGCAGATGAGTCAGCGCTCCCCTCGCCCCCTCCGCACGGTAACGTAACGCGTGGTGACGTAACAGGATGACGTGGCACTCATTACACAACAGGCAAGCACTGCGGCTATATAAGGGAACTGCACAGCAGCCTGCGAGTTGAGTTGTAACGTAACAGTCACCGAGTCGAGTTGACATATAGCAGCCGTCACCGAGTTCAGTAGTAGTCGAGCGAGTGTGTTATCAACAGTTCTCCAGTCAGCCGACTACAGTTGGAGTATAGCAGCCGTCGCGGAAAGAAGAACCGGACGTGTGTGTGATTGTGTAATTGGGAGTGTGTGATACAGTGATACATAGCTCCCCTGCTGTAAACGTGTAGACTACTGAAGACAGAGTGAGCTGATTTGCGCATAGGGTTATAAATCGTGAAACCCCGCAACAGTGGTAACAGATTAATGCGATTAGGGTTATAAAGTGTGAAACCCCGCAACTGTGTGATAAGTAATTGTAGCCGTTACTTGTAGATTGTTCAATAAACCAATTAACGATTTCTACGGCGTCTTCAGTAACGAAACATGTTACAATATGTTTAATTCTGGTGTCAGTAGCTTAGACTATATAGTCTAGCGCGAAAGTGAGCAATGAACTGGAGAGAATGTGAAGGGTAGCAGATATGGCCTAATTTAAGGCAATACGATTCATCTGCCTGGAGGGGCAAACTGGATGTATCACATCTGCCAAGTAACAAAATGAAAAATCAGAAAATTCCCTTTTCATGAAATCTTTACATTTCCACAACATACTGTATGGAATCCACTGCTGACCAGTGTCAGAAGCTGGCTCTGATGTTTTACAGGAGCTACTGTTACTCTTTCAATTCTCTTAAACTGTAACTTCTGGCAGCTGGCTAAACATTCTCTCATACTCTGCACAGCTGTAAAGGACTGGTTAATTTGCAAGCATCACTTCATCTTGTGTGTCATGCTTTAGCTATTACTTAACAGCCATGATCCACTTAATATCTTTTTTTCTTATCTCAAGATATGTCTCCAGCTGAAATGTACAAAACTAGGAATGAAAAGCATCTTGGTCTTTATTTAGGTCTCCTCAAGCGACGTTCACAATCCATGGAAATTTCTTCACAAAAAAATGACCAGCTTATTAATGAGACTGGCCACTTCAGAATTTATCAACCCTCTACCAGGTGGAGTAAATTATGCTCTGCTCTGCTCTGCATATAAGAGCAGAACATAATAACTTTCAGTTGTCATTCTTGTACCATCTGTGCATACAAAACTCGAACTATCTGAATGTGCATAGCTTGTATGTATCTCTGGTACCTGAGCAATATTTGCACACCTCATAAATCAGACATAAACAATAACAATAATTCATTCCGAGCTCAATGAGGCCTCTTTGTTCAGAATTTCCTTAGTGTAACAAAGACCACTGAGGCTACAGCTAGCACTTCATAATCATGGGTGAATCCTAAGGAAAATGAAATACTGATGATGAAATTTCTGCCACAATAGGGGAAGAATTACAGTCCAGAAGCAATAAGTCTGATGCTTTGTGGACTGATAATTTCATGGAAGACAGTGATAAGGAACGCAGTGACAGTAATACTGGTGATAGGAATGCAGCTAGAATCATACAACAAGGCTAGATAAAATGCCCCTTCAAATGGACTTCAAACTGTCCTTAGAAACTTCTTATCATGATGCCAAGCTTTACCTTGATACAGAATTACACTTCTCTGGATCCTAATCTTTATGTTCCTGGGTGAGACAGAGGAAGATAAAAGATCCTGAACAGCCTGAAGCTGAATAAAAGTCTAATAAAAAACTTTCTTGTTTCGTGCAAGATACCTCATGAACTGTTTGTATCTCCATGTAATTTGGATAACATATTTCATTAAACATTTATGACCCTTTTGTTGAACTATTTAGTGAACTTCTCAAATGTCAGATATCAAAACCTTTGTAAAAGAACATGCTCTACTGCATTCACTGGTTTCATCATAACTGAAAGGAATATGACAGAAAATATAAAAACGTTCAAATTTTACATTCCTGCTGATCAGGGTGAAAACATCCAAAACATAAGCTTACAAGGAGTTGATGAGGTCTTCAATTTCTGGGTTGAGAAGACAACCTTCAGGTACAGAAGGTGGTTTAAAATATGTTAAATGAGCAATACCAGACAGCTAACACGGGCTAACAATCCCTTATCATAAAACCTTGCATGTTACTAAATGTTACAAATGAATTCTTTGGCAAAACCTAAGGAACAGAAACTGAGATAATGGAGGCTCAACTGGACACCTTTGTTAACATGGGAAGGAGATTTCAAGTTCCTCAAAATATGCAGTTTCTTGACCAGATATATAACTATTACCAGACTATATGGCGTTAAATACCAGTAGAACTCATCACTCACCAATGTAAGAGCTCAAATCCAAATTATTTTATCTTGTACTCTTGTACTCACCAAAAATATTGAGGTTACTCAGGATGGTTCGAGCAATGTTTCCTGCCGCAGTGTTTATGTTATCTCCATTAGATGATAAGCTTTTTGATGCTTTCTTGTTATTGGTTTTCTTATTTCCCCCTGCACTACTGGATTTCTTACTACCTCCTGAGAGCCCAGTTGGAGGTAGCTGCACATTAAGTCCTTTATGGTTGTGTCCCGAGTTGTCCCTGACTCCTGGAGACTGTGCTGACCTGCGGCCTGCATGACACAGTGAAGATTGGCACAGGGCAAACACAGAGCAAACAAAACCATAATACAGGGCTTTATTGACTAAATAGTAGATTGAAGCCTTCTTTCTGCAGCACGATCATGAGAAGCACTTTCTGCTGATTCAAGGGTTTATATGGGCATTTCCACAAAAGCACAATGTCAAAATATGAGCACTGCTGTCACTGATGGACAATCACCTCTCCTAACAGTTGGCGGTACGGCATTTGGCAGTACTCTTAGTAGGAAGTCAATGAGAGTGACAATTTGATTTATGTGTGCAACATTATTAAGTGCTTCTCATTTTGGGAAGAAGCTAATTTGTCGTGCTAATCTTTTAAGCTGTAAATTCATTTGAAATGTCAAAACAATTATGTTTTGATTTGCTCAATGCAGAATTATTCTCAAGAACTGCTTCTCTAAGATCCATCTCCTTCTCAGTATTCAAAGTGGCCATCTTCCAAAAGTTTCTGCATTAACAATATCTATGCTTTTATTGTCTCTCTAGCCTGGTTACATGCCAGCCCACTGTAGCCTCCTATGTTTCTGAAGACAATATATTTCCAATAATCTTTCAATGTCCTTTCTGTTGCTGCTTTTGGAAGAGAACTGGCCCATAAACCTGGACTACATGAATCAGAACGACAGCTGTTGTCTAAACATGTTTTAACTACAGTGTAAATATTACAATACCTGCTATAACACTCTGCAATTCTTCAGGCTGTGCTTTGATAAGGGGGTAAGGAGCCTGCTGGACACGGCGAATACTACGCACATAACCTGTATTGTTGCGCACCTGTGTCAAATTGCAGAAGTTGATGATGTATGGAAAGGCCGGGTTTGTCTTACTTACATCAGTTGTCTGGTCTCCCTGCACATAATCAGAAGAGAACATGTGACATAGAACATAACAAGCATGAAAAACAGAGTAAGCTTTAATTTCTTTTAATTCATTAATTTAATTCATTTAATTTAATTTAATTTAATTTCAGTACAATATTTCCCTTCCCACTAACATAGATATCTGCTCTTTCTTTATACTGTGTACATGACGAAGTCAAGAATCCTGATTCAGAAATTTCAAATGGAATCTACATCAGTAAATATAATTCCTTACATATGTCATTTCTGAAAGCTAGTTATTGGTAGAGACGATGTTTGCTAATTTGTGAAAAATGTCAGTGTCTTTAGATTTCTTCTGCAGTCAAATTCACTGCTACCAAGAATGTGTAAGAACCAGTACACAGGCATATTACTATTACTGTTAGAAAAATACATAGTCAGTTCAAGCAGTGAGTAAACACAAAATCTGAATTATTCAGAAGGATGCTGGCAGCAGAACTTTACCTGTACATTCTAGCAATGTGTTCACATAACTTACAGTTTGCTGCTAAGGTGCAGATTCGCTCACAAGATGTATGCACAGCATAGCAACTGACAGTGTTCTACTGCTTCAGTTAGAAGGTAATTAACTAAGTTCAGAATCTCTCTTGAAAACCTAATAGTTGCTCAGCTAGTCAAGAAATTCTCAGCATTTTACGAGACTTGAAGGTTCATTATGATGTTCGCAAATTGTCCGTATTCTGATCCAGATGAATCCAGCATCACCCCACCCTATTTCTTAAAAGCCCCATTTTAACATTATGCCCCATCTATACCTAGATCTTTCTAGTGGTGTTTTCCAAAATTTAGTACTGATATCTCTTCTCTCCATTCATGATTGTGGTTCGCTCATCTCATCCTCCTTCAATTGATTCTTCTATGAATGTCCAGAGGAGAGTACAAGTTATGAGGCTCCTCATTAAGCAACTTTCTCCATCCTCCTCTCAAGTCCAAATATTCTTCTCAGCATCCTGTTTTCAAGCACCCTCAGTCTATATTCTTTGCTTTTAGATAGGAAGACAAAACATTTTGAACTGAATGGTCACTAAGCACTGCCCAAATCTAAAAACTGTAAATGCATGGTAAAAAAATTGAAAGCTTATTGTTCCTAGTTTCCTTCCGCCCAAGTAGTGCTCTGTTTAGATATGAAATTGTATACTTTCCTGCTCACAGCTGCAAAAAACTTGTACATTCATTTGGACCCTTATCTTAGCAACAGATCACATTACAATGACATCCAACATATTCAATTACTCACCCTTGCCCATGCTTCCTCAATGAGACACTGAATCTCCATATCATAAGTATGCCAATCCCCAGGGACATCTCCTGCCCATTCCCATTTAGCCCCTTTACCTGCAGGTGAATCTGGCAGGTAGCACTTTCTTCGAACATTGTGTGGAACACCTAATGCAGTACAAAACATGTTTTCATGTCAATTCAGTACATAATGGGAACATGCACTGCAATCCTGAATACACATATATTCCACATGAACTTCACGTGGATGATCATTTGTTACAGTTACAAACCTTTTCTTAAGTAAATCATACTTAAAGACATCACACTGTGTATGGCCAAACTATGTTTCTTAACACCATACCAAAAAACGTTATAATACTCTTCATAAGATCTACATTTTATACCAGTGTTTCTCTACCTGTCAGGCATGTCCCAGTTGTGGAACTTAGTGGTTGGTTAGACAGGATCTCAGGCCTTCAAAATCCTTCCATTAGTGATTAATGCAACACTAAAATGCACATAATTGTAAAAATACACTTCTTGAAAAATGAGAAGTTTTATTTTTATCACTGTGGAACTACAGTTTTTTGACAAGTTGGGTGGTTGGACACAAGAAGCAACAGACTCAGAATCACTGTTTTACTATATTGGACCAATATGGGCCAAATTTAAATATTCCAGAAAACTTTCAGCATAGATTTGCAAAGCCAGTTTAAGAAAGATGCATTAGTTTTGCATACGCATGCACACATGCAAACATGGCCTCTCCATTTTACATCTGCAAAGAATGCCAACTGTTACTCATTCAGTGAAGAAACTTGGTAGTCACTTTGGTTTCCAGTATTCTGCCCATATTTTGCCAATGGTAAGCTTGAATTCTTTTCCATCAACTACTGGAATGTTCATTTTCAAATAAATAGCATGCAATGCAGTACTCACAATTTTTTTTAATATGGAGCTGAGTACTTCTTGAGAAGCTGCCAATTATGCAGCTACTCAAGTGCTTCTAAGCCTTCTAATGCTGTCAATCTATTTAAGATTTCAACACAATACTGTTCTTTTCCCCAAAACTAACAGAGGTAGGCAGAACATGTGACATATAAAACCTACTTACTTATTTATGGAGCTGAGCCCTTCTTGAGAAGCCAAATTTACAGCTACTCAAGAACTTCCCAGCGTTTTTTGGAACCCAAAGGTTCATTACTGTGTTCACAAGAGCCCTCCACTGGTCTCTATCCTGAGCCAGATCAATCCAATCCATACCATCCAATCCTATCTCTCTAAGATACATTTTAATATAGTCCACCAGCTACGCCTTGGTCTTCCCATTGGTCTCTTTCCTTTTGGCTTTCCTACCAATATCCTATATGAATTCTTCTTCTCCTGCATTCGTGCTACATGCCCTGCCCACCTCATCCTCCTTGATTTGATCATTCTAATTATACTTGGAGAAGAGTACAAGTTATGGAATTCCTCATTATGCACTTTTCTCCAACCTCCTGTCACTTCATCCCTCTTCGGTCCAAATATTCTCCTCAACACCTTGCACATATAAAACTGTAAATCTTAAGTACTAAGCAGAGTAATGATGGTTTATTTCTATCCACCAATAATAAGAAATGCTATTACTCACTATCATCTTCCGAGCACTGCGTTTTTGTCTTCAGATTAATATAGTATTTCTCCAGTAACGGATCTGCATCACTCAAAATCACGCGCGTCAGCTTCTTACAATGAGCCCTCTCCAGGAGTTGTGACACTTCTGGACTATAGGGCCGCCACCGCCCTTGTCGATTTTCCCATTCCCACACCACTACTGCATGTCCGGACATTTTTTTCACTCCATGAAAACAACCCAATTAAAGAATAACTTTGGCATTATTAATTCTGGTACGAATACTACAGTCCTTCCGTATATTCACTAATCTCACTGACGGACATATGAATTTAACGCATTTCAAGATAATTACTGATTAGCCACACACTACAAAAATGTGTTATACGTTTATGAACCCAGCACATTTAAAATATAAAGTAACTGTATACAAACGCACAACCATTTCGCACCCAAATCTCTAAACTCTCAAACCAAAAAAAAACCATTATTACACACAAACTGTCAAATTTCTGTACAGGTGGCAGCGAGTTCAACACTTGTTTACTTAAATTTGCAGGCATACCAATTGGTTTCATAACATTAGTAGAACAAAATACGATGACTTGTGCATATATGCCGTTATTCGTCTTATATTACAGTGCGTCGCTTGTCTTGCTGTAAACCGTGGTATACCAACGATACCAACCTTACACACGGATGCGAGCGATGCAAGCATTGCCCTGAGGCGCGAAATTTGAAAATGCCAGACGGTATGGTAAATTTTTAATTGACCAGAGAATTATATATTACAAGTCCTGAATTCGTGGACAGTTGGTCCTTTATTTAGGTTTTCATCATGGTACACCAAGTTAGGTTAGAAGTCCTGGTTAAGGTTTTACGAGTAGTATAATAAAATGCACCAATATTATGTGGGTCCCTTTCTGCCATGGCATGGAGCAAGCTCACAATGTGGATGGGCAATATGGCCTCCAGATATTCAGGATAACTGTGAATATATTGAATAAGCAGTCGCGGACAGCCGACAAGGGATGGTCCTCCAGCTTAGAGGGCTAAAAACTCCACACCTTAAAAAATTTGCTCATCACAAAATGTCACAAAGGGCCTCAGACTTGGATGAATTCTATGGACAAATAACCTAAGCTAAGGAAAATGGGCATCAGATTTTTTACGTGGAATGTAAGAAGTTTGTATGGGGAAGATTCTGTCATGTCAGCTGTGAGAGAACTATCAAAATATATGTTAGATTTAGTGGGAGCACAGGAGGTTATATGGGACTGAATCAGTCAGCAAATATACATTTTTCTATGTAAAGGGGAATGAGAATCATGAATTAGGTACAGATCCTATTGTACATAAGAAAATCATATCAGCAATTAAGAGAGTAGAGTTCATTAGTGATAGGATGTCATACATAATACTAAGAGGTCGCTGGTGTGATATCATCATTTTGAATATTCATCACCCAGTGGAGGATAAAGCTGATGTTATAGAGGACAGGTTTTACACAGATAAGAAGTCGTATGAACTGATCTGGCTCAGGATAGGGATAAATGGGGCACTCTTGTGAACACTGTAATGAACCTACAAGTTCCATAAAATGTTGGGAAGTTCTTGAGTATCTGCACAATTGGCAGTTTCTCAAGAAAGGCTCAGCTCCATGAAGTTAATTTGTTCATTAATTATAGCAAAATGCACCAATTCACTTCCTACAGTTTGACATAGTGCCAACTATTGGTCTCCTAGCGAACTTCGACAGTCTCGGTAACACGTCCATCAGCGCTGCCGACATATCAGTCTGTCAGCACCTGCTCATGCTGGTTCTTTTTTCTTCTACCCTGAAGCTGGAGGCAATACATTACTCCGATACATTGGTTAACACAATATCTACAGGGCGCCACATCCCAGAAGATAGCTTTCTTCATAGTCACCTCCGTGAAAACCTCAAATCTTAAATTTTATTGTCCTTTTCGTTTTTGGCTAACAGAAATTGACCCAGCTTCCATTTCCAGTCACTATGCACTTCAGAAAGCCATCACGTCCTGTTTTGTATCATCGCAAAAGTGGTATTAGTGAAGCGCTGCAGGATATACACTGAACCCAACAAGGATTGTGTTGAAAAATGGCAAAGCTGTGGAGCTGTACCAAACCAATTTGCACAAAATTAACCAGTAAAGAGATCTTACGGTTTTCATTTCACTCACCCTTATATGTGACCCTTCAAGCAACTTATGTTCGTTGGTGATGCAACCATTCATGATCAAATTCAGGTCAAAGGATAGCTGTACTGAATCCACTTCAGAGTATTAAAGCTTCTCTGATGATTCAATTTTCTCCACAATTTGTTAAGAACAGAGATTATTACTCTGTTCCAATTTTACTGTAATATAAAGCTGGATAATACAAGCCACCTACATATATTACAGACAAGTTGGTGCATGGTCAGCACATGGCCACCGAGCCATCTCCAGCTAGTTTGAAGATAATCATGCAGACAAAGGTTCAAGGGACTGTGCATCCTGTTACAACTCCATCTTTCGAAAAAGTAGCATTTTATTATCCTGCGGTCAGCAATAGAGATATTTATTCATCAAACCCTTTCAGTTGCTTGTATTTTTATAATGAATGAATTCCAGAACTGAAAAATTAGAAGCCTCTAGGTATATAGAGGTAAATTTGTCCCTGTGCTTAATTAGTTAAGCACTGTGTAATGAAAATATAGGGGGGAGGGGGGACTGGGGGTATAGCTCTACCATTGACTCTAGTTATTAGAGTTATTAGTTTCTTATATATATTTTAATTTTTATTTATTTTATGTTACGACAGTCTTATGTAAATATCAATGTAATCGGCTGACAATGTCTAATCCAAAGGTCATGTACCTGACTGGATCAATGAATGCAAATAAATACTACAATACAATACAATACAATACAGTACAATACAATAAATAAAATAGGTTGGTAGCAACGGGGTAATGCCTTTTAATCATGAACACCATGGAGGCATACAATTTGCAGCAGAGATATTTCATTATGAAAACGTATTATGAAAGTGAAAATTCTGCTGTTGCAATACAGAACAAATTCTGTACAAAGTTTCCTTTATGTTAAGGGTCACCAGAAATTCTGTGTGGCAATTACTCAAGCAGTCTGAAAAAACAGGTAGCCTACTTGATCAGCAGAAAGATCATGGTGGACGCTCATCCATATGCCAGACTGATGTGGCAGAGGGAGCCAAACAAACATTAATGACTAGTCCGTAGTGTTATGTAATAGAGTTATCTCTGCCTTTAAGTAACTTATGGAAAGAGATATTTAGTGTTTTGTAATGAGTTATCTATTTACCTGAGAATTAAATAGAGGTTTTAAACATAATATGATTTCCCAATGAAATCATTTACATGATTATGTGAACAAACAGTTTTTCATTACTGAACTTTACAAAATCCAGAGACTGGCACTAACAGCCCCTAGATCCTGAATAAGTTACACTGTGCAGTGCGCTTTCTGATATTGGCATATTGAGTTCCGTGTTTATTCGGGAAAGTCAGTTCTCATGTTTACATTAATGTTTTGCAGAACGACGTAAATTGTCTCACAGGTTGCAATGTTGATATCAGTATGGCCTGGTTCCAATGAAATGGCATGAGGCCTCATGCAGCCAATATTAAAAGTAAAGCTATCCTTGTACCAGGCCATAAAGGCCCATAGGGTTGTGAGACTTTGAGGGTCCCACACTATCTAGACAATCGGCTCAAAGATGGCAGTAAGGTTATACAGCCAGTATTGCGTTGGATTTTATCTTAAGGAAATATTTGGAAACAGAACACTTTCAAACATATTTTCTCATGTTCATGGTACTGGTTTTGAGCGGTCACCTCTGTTACAAGATTTAAACTAATGTGACTTTCCTATGGAGCTATCCCAAGAATAAAGTGTTCACTACTAACTCTGGCACAATTAATGATCTGAAAAAGGCAAAAGAACAAAAGGTGTTCTTAATTCCACACGAAGTGTGCAAGCCATTCTGCAGAATTTCATCATTTGACTATGACACACAGTTTCATAGGGGGGGGCACATTGAACACGTTTCACACTGAATACTGTACTTCCTGTGCATACAACCATTTTAAATGCAAATATGGTGCAATTAATATAGGCTTTTATGATAAAAGGACATGGTTCAGCGATTAAAAAAAAGCATCTTCTATATTGCAAATAAATTCAGTAAATTTTTTCTTGATTCTTGATTCTGTCACGTGTAAACTAAATTAACTAAAAAGGTCAATGCATCATACTGAATATCCCCAATACAATTACAATAAAACATGTCTGATATAGTTTGGGAGAAGCTGATATTTCTTGGTATTCTTCAGAAGGCTGCTGCAAGTAGATACGGCGGTTGTTCGCCTTCTGGAGTGGTCTGTAGTTGGATGTAAGTGGTTCATGGTGTGAATGGACCTTGTGGAATTGTGCCACCTAGACCAAAGATAGTAAAAGAGATTTCAGTTCCAGACCTGTTCTGTATGTGATTTTTAACCTGCTATCATATGTTTCTGATGTCCGTAACATTAGCTACTTCATACCAACGAAATATTACCAGATATAAATTAAGTAATTTACTTATTAGTTAACAGACAGTGGTTAATGCCTGGTAGGGAAGAATTCTGCATTTGTCACCCTTTCCAAACCAACTTTGTTGTGAACTCAGCATTCTGTCAAGGGCACAAAGTTGGAGCAGCCAGAGAAAGGTACTGACCCTCTGGCTGCTCGTAGTGCCTAAATTAATGACATGTTCAGCTCTAAATCCACTCTCCATACATGATATTCATGACCTAGCGCTTAGTCATAGATGATTTTAATGAACAGTGAATCTATACAGAATTTCTGTGGAAATTTTGATTTATCTATTTTGCAATCTTAACTTTATATAGGTATTTTGAATAGATGGCAGTTGGTTGGAACGGGTACCATTAAATATCTGGGTCAGGGGAGATATTGGCAATGCATGTCATATTTACATTTTCTTGTGAGTGCGCTATGCAATCCATGAATTATTTTCAAGTGCCGTATGAAGACATGGAATACATCTGATGCATCTTCACTCCCATAAGAACAAATAAATTCTTCACGGAAGAATTAACTCACTAGATTCACCAGACACTGTGCCAAGAAGTTATTTTCTATGAAGTTAATCAGTTATACAGCAGAACCCACATTTAATGTTCCTTAATTTAACTTTTGCTTTCATTTTGGTGTTTCATTCAAGTATTCTAGTTATAATTTCACCGAGGATTTACCACCATTTTGAGATTTTTATCAGTTTAGTGCACCAGTCCACTGTTCCTCAGATATGCCTTAAATGGGGGTTCACTGTATCTTTCTGTTAAGCTGATCAGCAATTACCTGCTTTTCCCCAATGGGCATGAGGTGTGCTAGGACAGTCCACACAACTGATTCATCACAGTGTGGCGTTGTGAGTGAACCAGCATAGCGGTAGAAGTAATTAAATTCATCAGGTAATAAATCTTGGAGTCTCACAAGTTGCGAGGACTGAAATTGGATTCCCTCCACATGACTCACTTGAGATATGGATTCCAAAATTGGCTGGAGCTGCTTGTTTGGCTCATTTGTTTCCTGGAAAATGATCAAAGAATAACAAATAATTGTGTGCAGGAAAAAGCTGATGATGTACATGCTGAAGCTCCCAAGAGGAGTTTACCTCCAACACATTAAGAGTGTGCATTATAAGCCACACCAAAAGTCTTATTTGTTGGAATTTTACTGTATTTATCTGAATACAAAACGTTTCCCTTTTTGAAACATAAATTCATTGAAAATGAATCATGTTTCCATTTTTAATTCTAAGCCACATATTCTCTCTTACCACATCATTTAATATGTATACAAGAATTTCTGGGAAGAACTGTCATCTACTTTCCTTTGATATGACAGGAACAGCATATAAAATGAGAAAATAAGATGGGGAGGTGATGTCATAAGCCTAAAAAATTGTGAGGGATACACAGACACACAGACAGCAAGGTGATCTCAAAAATTTTCTTTTACTTTTTTCTAAGTAAAGAAAGTAGGCTAAAACAGGTTTTGTAATGGTGAGTGAAAGCTTTGAAATTATTCAATTTGGAGTTATTACAACAATGAATTCTTGATAATGAACACTTTGTATAAATGTAAATTTTGTAGCAATTCACGAAAGATCAAGAAGAATTTTTCTTCAGTATATCATATGTATTCTGTGAGCACTGAAATGTTTTGATGTTCATACTTAAAGTGTAGTTAGTATCTATCATTGAATGTAACTTAAGATTTGCAAACTTTCTTTCTTCATCAAAACATACATGTACAAAATATCCATACAGACTGGCTCAGTAAAATCCTGTCAAGAGCTCTATCTGGAACCAGACTTATGTAGGTAATATAAGTTCAATGTACCTACGTGACTACTTGAATTCATAATTTCATGATTAGAATAAGGAATATTTCAGAAAATTCTATCCAGACATGCCTCCTGTTATTTTCAAATATATTTGTCTCTAAAATAACATATTCATTTGTGCTGTATATTCATGCCTAATGAAAATTGTCAACTTGACAGTAGGTCCCACTAAGGAATAAATTCCTCAGGAAAATGTACCTTCACAGAACACCTATATGAATTTGCATCTGCACTTACTTTAATTTGTATATCAAGATTCTTAAGAACTTCTACACTGATATGATTAATATCATTACTTCCTGACCATTAAATTGCTTTATTTAAGCAATCTGTTAAACTGATTACAGATATAGTGGTTGTTCTTCATGTTTCCTTAATTTGTGATGAATTTCCTGCAAGTTGCTTTGAATTGTGATGATGTCATCACCTAAATATGCACAAATTACATCACCCTTTATTGTAACAAACCTCTAAGTTCTACTGTTTCTTATAAATAATTCTGTTCTGAGTTGCACTTTTATTTCTTACTTACTTACTTACTCATGGAATTGAGCTCTTCTGGAGGACCCGCCAATTCTGCAGCTACTCAAGAATTTCCCAGCATTTTATGGAACGTGAAGGTTCATTACCGTGTTCCCAAGAGCCCTCCACTGGTCCCTATCCTGAGCCAGATCTATCCAATCCATACCATCCAATTCTATCTCTCTAAGATCCATTCTAATATTGTCCACCCACCTACGCCTTGGTCTTCCCTGTGGTCTCTTTCCTTTTGGCTTTCCCACCAATATCCTATACGCATTCCTCGTCTCCCCCATTCATGCTCCATGACCCGCCCACCTCATCCTCCTTGACTTGATCATTCTAATTATACTTGGAGAAGAGTAAAAGTTATGAAGCTCCTCATTATGCAGTTTTCTCCAACCTCCTCTCACTTCGTCTCTCTTTGGTCCAAATATTCTCCTCAACACCCTGTTCTCAAACACACTCAGTTTATGTTCCTCCCTTAATGTCAGAGACCAGGTTCCACACCCATACAGAACCACAGGCAAAATTATAGTTTTGTATATTCTAATTTTTCTGTTTTTGGACAACAGACAAGAAGAAAAAAGGTTCTGGACTGAATGGTAGCAAGCATTACCCGAGTTCAATCGCCTCTTAATTTTCTCCTAAATCAGGGTTCGATCTGATATCGTTGTTCCCATATATCTGAACTGTGCCACATTTTCAAAACATCTGTTTCCTATCTTTATGTCATGATTTTGACCTGCATTTTGGTGACGAGACAGTAATATATACTTAGTTTTCTCTGTGTTTACTTCTAGACCAACCTCTTTACTTGCGTGAATTAAAGTTTGTGTGTTCTTCTGTATGGTATCTACATTATCACCCAGTAGATTCACATCATCAGCGTAGACCAACAGCTGATATGTCCTGTTTAATTTGAGTCCCACCTAGTTTCCCTGGACTTTCCTAATTGCATATTCTAAGGCAAAGTTGAAAAGGAGTGGCGATAAAGCATCTCCTTGTTTAAGACCATTCTGGATAGGAAATTTATCAGACAAATGTTTACCTACATGGACTTTACTATGCATTTTGTTTAAACACATTTTAATCAACATAACTAGTTTCATGGGAACATATCCAGAAGGAAATAGAGAGCTCGGTTTACAGCAAATCAGTTATAGATGGAATACAATTGTAAGCAGTGCATTCACTAGTCATGTGAGAACATAATTTCTTACAAAAACTGATTGTTCATGTTACATCATTATGCATGTACAGTAAATTCTCACTAATCCAGTTACAGTTAATCTGGATGTTGGATAATCTGGATCATAATAAAGGAAATGCTGTTCACAGTTGAGTACATTCTTTTAAAAGACACATGGCATTTAGGAAGGCTGATGAGTTACTTGTCTGTTCAAACAAAACTTGACACTTTCTTCAAGCCTACATTATTACATTAAAGAAGAAGTACAATTTCTGAGTCTTCTATCAATGAATAAATATATTGTCTTTTGATAGTTTTTAAATAAAGGCAATCAGTGATTTTTTTAATTTATTTTCATCATTAAAGTTTTAATTTATTTGTGTTCTAAGTTCTTTTGTCTTTTAGCTTTACCTTTTCTTCACTAATCCAGATTATTGCTTAATCTGGGTGACCTATCCCCCCCCCCCAGTTATTCCACACTAGTGAGGGTTTATTGTATTCATTGTAGTACACCCATTACTTATTGCTAGGGTCAAATTACAAACTCATAAATGTATGCTAAAAATAATTATCTCAAACATACTCAAATATTCATTAAAATTTGCCTCCCATAAAAATGCACATAATATTTAATGCCAGCTAAGAACTGGCTGCACCAACAAATCAATTCAGCAGAGCAATATGATATTGTAAATAATTTCCCATAACTGGTTTAGCCAAGAATTTCATAAAGAACTGAACTGCACCAGTTGTTCACAGCTGTCAGCACATCAGTCATGACAAACAATGCCAAATATTTGACATTAAAATTAACCTTACTTAAATTTTCATAGTTTCCTGGCTGAAAGTCATCTGTCAGGTGGTAGGATCTACTTCATGTTTAAGAGGTTCTGGCTTCAGGATCTTTGCCCAGAAACCAGAGCTCCCGTCTAAGGCTTATCATGGTTTCCTTCTGCATCTCTAAGCAAATGCTAGGATATTTCTTCACATTAGGCTGCAACTATGTTGGACATGACTACGGCCAGCGTGGTTTTCTGCCTTGTAATAGCATGTAGTATGGAGACAGCCTGATGTTATGGAGGATCACATCTCCGGGTCAAAAAGTGAGTCAAGCAAGAAAACAGCAAAAGCAGACAGAATGCTCAGCTATCTCTGAAATACATGGCATTAGATCCCAAGAGACCTTAATCTTTATAGCGTACAACTGTTTCCTTCCAGTTCTTCTCCAAGTAAGCATTCACTACAAACCTTGCCATTAGACATTTTATAGTTGGAGGTATTGACAATATAATTATATAAAGCATTAAAATAAATATTGCTCCCTTATCCTTCATGGCAGAATTAACAGTTGTACCAACGTAGTTTTTTTTTTCTCCAGACATTCATTTGTGTAATATGTAAGCGAAGTTGCCATTAAAATATGAAATGTCCTAAGAAATACATTACAATTTTACATTCCTTATTTGTGGCTATAAGCATGCATTTTTCACTCTGTGAATATTGGTCATATCTTACACGGTAACCGCCTTCTAAAAGAAGTTATTGAAGGAAAGATAGAGGGGTGGATAGAAGTGACCAGAAGACGAGGAAGAAGACGTGAGAAATTTCTGGATGTCCTTGGGGCCAGAAGAGGATATTTTCATTTGAAGGAGAAAGCTCTAGATCGCATCAAGTGGAGGAACTGTTTTGGAAGAGACTGTGGGCCTGTCGTCTTGACAGATTACAGATGAATAAATGAATGAATGAATATTGTGTCATTTAACTTACATAGAATAAAACTGCAAGCACAGCTAAACCCCGATTAACTTTTGCTGCATCCTCAAGCTTCTTGAATCGACGATCATAATGCACCATATGCATTTCTAGAGGGAATCTTTAAAAAAATGCAAACAGAATGACCATTTTTACATCAAATACTAATTCAAATCCAAATCAACATACCTTCTTCCCATCATATGTGGTTATACTACCAGGCAGTATCTCTTTTCCAAAAGCATGTTTGTCCATACTCTGATGCCTGGTTTTAACCCCATGGTCAAAACATACAATGCACTGCCAGCTGAAGAACTCTTTAGCTGTTTAGCAGAATGCATTGATTTTTTGCCAGCATAGGCACCAGCCTCTATGGCTCAGTTACTAGAAACATATTCATAGAAACAAGAAGTTGTATGAAAGAGTGAGTTAGTCATTAAGGTAAGCAAGTCCTTAAACGCTCTATTCTGCTATAAAAATTAGGAACCCATTTCCAAATAAATGCTTAACGGCAAAAATTGCTGACACCATAATTTTACATATGTTGCCCCCACACAGTACCACCAAAACTGAAGTCTGATAATCAGTGATCAAGTATTATTGTCTTGAAATCTTTTATATGAAATGTGACTCAGAAATGTAATTTCATGAAACCTAGATTTAAAATACTCAAATTACTATTGAAATTCGCCACTCAGTCCCAGTGACAGCACAGTTCCAGCTGTGCTTGATCTTATGTCAAGCAGATTCTGAGAGAATATCCAGTCAAGTGCCAACTCATAGGTGTTCTGTGAAGCCAATCTGGAGGTTCTGCCAAGGAGTAGCCTCCTTTAAGAGTCATGGGAAGTGATTCCCAGAACTCAGAAAATGGAGAAATCGGGAAAAGAATGCTCTGTTATACGGAGAATCAAAAAACAGATCATTGTGTCTCCACACGATCATTTGTTGCTCTACCACAGACTCCTTGTGTCACTCAGAACAAGAAGGCTTGAAATAAGCACAAGGACCCACCTCTTTCCTTGAAAAGTGTGTTCAGACTGCCAATGGAAGTGTATCTGTTCCAGATGGTAGGCAGCAGGCAAACCACCAGCTGCCATAACCACTTCACAGGGCTGCTCCACTGTCAACACCACTGCAGAGTAGGCCAACATCTATCATCTGATATATATATATAAAAAGTAACTTTTCTGTACATTTGTTTCCTAATGTGGAGCTAATAGAGAACATTAAAATATATTGTTATGTATCTGAAATTTATTCCATACTCTTGACAATATGCTGTAGCATAGTTGGTTGAGGCACTATACTATAAGCCGAAAGGACTCAGGTTCGATTTCTGATGAGATCATTGGGTTTTTCAACTGGCCTAATTCTTCCCACCACACTATGGCCTTGGGGTTGACTCTGCATCTAACAGAAATGAGACCAGGAATCGTCTTGGGGGAAAAGGGTGACCAGTGCATAAGGCTGAACTGCACTGCCATCTGTAAGCCGACTGTCTATAAAATGTGAGAGCCTTGACATGTCACATCCTATGGGTTTCCATGGCCTGTTACATGGATGGCTTTACCTTTACTCTTGACAGTATGTATAGTAGCTGAGGCTGCTAAAGCGATGTGCAAGTATTGTGGCGAACTTTCTGGATTCAGTTTAAATCATCATTCCAAATCGTTCTTTCCCAATACATGAGAAAACTTCAATTTTTAATTTCAATTTTAATCCTTATTTTAAGTTGTAGATACTGTATACCATACAGTGGAGTTCTATCATACTCACATTTAGCTTATGTGAATTCAACTACACGCCCTCCCAGCAAAGAAAATTTATATAGAGCAGGCGATTTGTATACAACTCACTCTCTGTCACCAAAGATTGTCCTTGCGTCTCCTGGATGAAAATCAGGCCCTGATTAATCCCCAATTACTGTTGTCTGGAGAAAAGAAGTGCTAATCATCAGAATACCCTGGATGAATGGTGAATGTTCAGGTTTATTGTTCTCCTTTTTTATTCCTTCATCCTTTCGTCTCCTACTACCGTGACTTTCGACAGACTACACGGCGTTATACCCAGAAGATAGTACACTTCATAACCACCGCTATGATAACCTAAAATCCTACAGGACCCAAGGTGTTCCAGTGAGTTGCAAGTGTCATTTAGACTCACCCGTGTGACCATTATTAGTCATATTCGCCACCAACCTCCGGTCATAGTTGAGGAGAACTAAGGGCATAAAACGTCCAGGAACAGTTGTTTGCGGGTCGAGGTCTATTGGTGACTGTCTGGTCCCAGACTGACACATCCCTGGCCAGTCACTAGGTCCTGCAAATAAAAGCGCTTGCTTTTATATTTTCAGTGCAACAAAATGCTTAAATATAGCATCATAACAAAGAAATCTGTCGCTATGGAAACCCAAAGCCTCCATAATCGCATGAGGTATATTCATAAAACAGGACTTCTGTATATACATCTTAGTAATCAAATAGATTCGACCACAGTATTTATGTAAACAATGCAAAATCTTCCCTGCATTATTTTAGAAGGAATTTTCGATGTTTCGGAGGAACTATTCTGTGCATATCTCTCCATGTTCAAGGTAGAACTGAAGACAATCGCAGTTGCGAGTTGTGTGTGAGTTCTATCGTGAAGATGAGGGAAATTTCATGTTCCAAACTGTTTGAATCGTATTCTTTAAAATATCATGACACCTACATTCTCTTTTAAAACCTGCACCAATTTAAACTGGTATTTTGGTTTCCTGATTTGAGAATGTTATTGTGAAACATCAGCAGCACGATAGCCATTAGCCGTTACGTCACACAATGTTTACTGTGTTGGACGAGCTGTCCTGTCGCGAATTACGTACATTGTGACTCAGTGTCTTTGCCAAGTACTTCAAGGGGCAGAGAGGAAATTGTTGCTAGGACGTGCCAAAATTTAAATTTAGCCAGCAAAAAGCAAAGCCTGTGATCTGAGAACGTGTATATTTTCTTTCGCGGATAGTTACAGTCATGGTGAGAGCTCTTGTGCGTGGAGGAAGTGTCTGTCAGCTAGGACTTTGTGTTCCACGCCCAGGAGCAGAATCTGCAACTCAACATCTGTGCAGCTTCCCTCAACAGTACGTCCTACTCTTCTCTTTCTCTGCTCTCCTCATTTCCTCCTTTTTTTTTTTTCTTTCCTTAAGTCGTGATTCGCGATAAATCTTTAGCTTCAGAAATCCTTTTAATTAAAACGAAATACACGGAGTTCGTGGCTGGGCTCATACAGCCTACTCTCCTATTACACAAACGTCTATTCTAACAGATCTTACGTGCTTAATATTATACTTAAGTAATGTAAGTTCGTGGTTAGAAGTTGTGTCTATGCGCAATTGAGCGCCACGCTATGAAGAAGTATGAGGAGTGGAGGTATAGTTCCAACCATTCTTAATCTCGACAGTAGGTTGAAATCTCAGCACCACAGTGTCCCATTCACTACTCTCCCGAGGTAAATGGTGACGTGCTCGATATCTGTATGTCCGAATATCAGAAATCACTGTCTCTGACATTCTGCACTCATATCAACTACCAATCATTTTCCACTTACTGGATCATGTCAGAACTTGGAACTTTTCGTATCCAGTTGACTAATTCATAGATTGGGAGCGCTTTCAAAACCTGGCCTCTGAATTAATTTCACCTAGCAACCAAATGAACTCGGGGCACACAGTAACGTTGTTGTTTAAGGCACTATGCTACGAGTCAGATGGTCGCGGGTTCGATTCCCGATGAGGTCATTGGACTTTTTTCAATTTATGTAATCCTTCTAGCAACACTATGGCCGTGGGGTCGACTCAGCCTCTAAAATAAACGAGTACCATGAATCTTCCTGGTGGGTAAAGGGAGGCCGGCGCGTAAGGCTGACAAAGATACCGCCAAACTGTCAGTCGATTGTCTAGAGAAATGTGGGAGCCTCGACGTCTCACAACCCTATGGGCCTTCACGGTTTGTTACAGGAATAGCTTTATCTTACTTACTTACTCTTGGAGCTGAGCCTTTCTTGAGGAGCCGCCAATTCTGCAGCTACTCAAGAATTTCCCGGCATTTTATGGAACCCGAAGGTACATCACCGTTAATAATGTTATATTTTAGCGTCCTGTTGCACTGATTTATGTCCATGATTTATTCTGACCGTCTTACAGTGCATACATTTATTCACCTTACTCTTCTCTCTTGCACTACATGTTTCAGCACAAAAGTGCCATCTTCAGGTGCTTTTCGATGTACGTCGAACTACTTCATTGCATGTCCTGTTGTCTGTATACTAAAATAACTAAAATATATATTCGTCATATATATTGATAAATTTTAAATATTAAAAATATTAAAACTGTTCAGGATTTGTCATCCTTATGTCGTATCGAGATACGACATAAGGAACAGGAACGACCTGAACAGTCCAAGTAACCCTCCCCCATTCAGAAGCGATCGACTATTTTAAATGACTTCAATTAATCATCATATCACTGCACGTTTTCTGACAGTCTCCATTTGCAGAGTGGTAGGGAGAGACAGCGCAGTGTCGAGTCGCTCAGCTATGTCCGCTATGTCAGCCCATGGTGCAAGTATCACAACCGGAGAAATATACACGTACATCTTTCGAACTTGCTAATATTATTTTGGTTATAAATTTATGTCAAATTTACAAACGTCCTTCAATAGATACAGACTACAGCATTATGTATATTTTTATTAATTTCCATTATTATCGAATCCACAAAATAATGATAATAATCTGTATTTATTTGTAATTTTTAAAATTAAATTCTCTTACAACTAACCGGGCTTGATAGCCATGACAGTACTATTACTGCTATTTTAACCGCATGCTTCAAGGTTATTAGTGAACGTTATTGGAAATAACAAACCTGTCTAAATTTACCTTGCCGGTCACGGTAGCCGAGCGGTCTAAGGCATGCACTGTCTTCGCTCGCTTGGAAACTAGGATCGTGGGTTCGAATCCCACTCAGGGCATGGATGTTTGTGTGCGTTTTTCTGTGTTTGTGTGCAGGTAGAGGCCTTGCGACGAGCTGATCACCCACCCAAGGAGTCCTACCGAAGGTGTAAGATCTAGAAAAACCGAAGTGAACAGAGAAGTTCATGGAGGTAGGCCTAGGCCCACTGGGGCTGTAGTGCCAATGAAAAAAAAGTTACCTTATTTATGAAAAAACTGCCCTCTTAGATTTTCCTCTGACACAAACAGCTCGATTACTTGCTGGACGAGTCTTGTACTGCCTGCAATCACAGCTTTAAGGATCTTATGGATACTCTGAATCTCAGAACGCTCAGAAGAGCCAGATTATTAAGACGTTCTTGTTCCAGAGTTCCTATGGCAGGCCTTCACTCTCTTTCGACTGCTAAAACAACGTTCTGACTATGACACTGACACCGATGGTGTTAGTACTCGTATGTACTATTTCCACTAGTTTGTGCATTTCTGACAGGGTTCAGTTTCATTAAACTCCAAAGAGCACAGACAGATTTTACTCGTACGTTGACAAATGTATCATTTCTATAACGTATCGATAAGTTATCGTTTGAAAGAACGGGATCTTATTTCACAACACTACTCACGAGTTCACTGAGAAGACGCATCTTCCTTTTAATATTATACTGAATACACCACTCCACTAACACTGCTAAAGGTCTGAGTATAACTAAGGAAATTTTTTGCAAAGAATGTTCTTGTCTGTGCTAGGGCAAGTCATTGGTCTAAGTTCTCTCCCCGCCCCTGCAAAGCAGACTGCCAGCGGAACGTACTACATGAGGACACAGGAGCATACAGAATACAAAATTTAGCGTAACAGTAACGGCCAATCTCCTGTAGACAGCTTTTGGTAAAATGGTCTTTCAATAGCTTCAAACCACGTGTCTGCAATTTCCCTGTGCGTAAGTATAATTAAGCAATATACCATGAAGACTAGGGTCACGCGGTAGCGTAGTTGGTTGAGGCACTATGCTTCAAGCCGGAAGGTGCGGGTTCGAGACCCGATTAAGTGGAATGTTTCAATTTACCTAACCATTCCGGCCGCACTATGGCCTAGAGGTCGACTCAGCCTCTAACAGAAATGAGTACCAGGAATCTTCCTTCGGGTAAAAGACGGCCGGAGCGTAAGGCTGACAATCTTACCGCCATCTGTGAGCCGATTGTCTAGAGAAAATGTGGGAACCTCGACGTCTCACAACCCTATGGGCCTTCACGGCCTGTTACAAGGATGGCTTTACCTTGCCATGAAGACTTAGGGGGAGGAGGTATAGTTCCCCCATTCTTAACCTCGTAACTAAGTAGAGATTACTGTTCAGCTTCATGGTCCTGCCTCTTTAACCCCAATACCCGATGGGTATGAGGTTGGATAGGCTCCAGAGCCAGTCTGAACACTGTGAAGAAGAGAGAAATCTTTCGTTCCTGCCGGGAAACGAAACCAAATTCCTCAGCCGTTCAGCCAGCAGGCCGTCACTGTACCAACAGAGCTATACCGGTTTCCATTCTTCTGCAAGACGAAATTATAATAAGAGATTTAAATGAATTCCAAGCTAGAACTTGAAGTCTTTGCTACAGAGTTCTGTTTATCTTCAGGCGTAGTAAAAGCTAGGCACACATGTCACACTGCAGACGTATTTGTTTCCTGACACACAGAGCTATCGGCAGCGCAGTCAGCAGCAAGACAGAATGAAGGGGGAGGAGCAGTAAACCATTCATAGATCTCCGTGGAGATTTAGGCAGCCACTCGCGATGTTCCAACATTAACCGATTCACATAGGATTATCATCCACTTAAGTCCTTTCCACATCCTCAATCAGAGTGGGGCAGTGGCGGTGAGCTCTGATGCCGTCCCTGAAATATGTCTAGGTCAGACATCAAACTGTTGGCACTTCCTGAGATGCGACCCGGTTATGGCTTTGAACCTGGGGAGAGATCGGTGCGCTCTGTTCATTACGTACGCTGCTCTACAGCGCCATGTTTATCTCAGGTGGATGGATGTACAATATTACGAACAGTGCGGTCTTCTGGTTTGTAAAGGAAAGCCCGATGCTTCGGAGCAACATATCGTCTCAATCTTCAGGGATGGAAACTAACCTAATCTAGAGACCACTAGAATCAGGCAGTAGGTGGAAGGAGAACCACAGCTGCTCACCCGTGACAATGTGAAAATTTCAGTAGCATCTGCCGATGATGAGGTATAATTAACACTGCCCTCCATTTATATTATTTTCTGACACAAGATGTCGTGAAAATATTGAAGTTTCAGAACGCCAAATACACAAGGAGATGCGACGCCGTGGAGTTCAGCTGAAGTTTCTCAATCCGCAGGGACAAATGAGCACCCGGTAAGACATGTCGATGAATTTCTGTCTGACTACAGAGTGTGTAGTCCCAGAAAACAGAACTCTTCATAGAAACCGCTGTGAGAACCTCAAATCTAACAGTAATTACGTAAATAAATAAAACAGAAAATACATTAAATTAAATAAGAAAGGAGATGTTGATCAAAGTGCAAATTCTGGGATCCCTAATACACATTGCATTTCCAGTTGTCTCACCTGCAACTAGAGGAGGGAAAGTCGTGCCTTTCTGCAGGTATGAATAACGTGTGGTTGCTTGACAAGTTTCAAGTACACGCTCAGAATTACTGGGGTCTTGGACTTTGGTCATCGTCCGGTATTCTGGAAACTAGAAAACACAACGCTTCGGAAATTGGATCCAGTTTCCGAAACGTTGTGTTTTCTGGTTTCTAGAATACGGGACGATGGACAAATTCCAAAACTCCAGTAATTCTGAGTACTACACATCATCGTCAGAACCCTTTAGAATCTTCAAATATATAGTTTTTTAGGTTCCCTGCCCACTATTGTTTCAGAATATCCCGATACGGACCTCAGAATAAGAGAAATGCAATTTCTGGTTTAGACAAATGTGAATATTAGGAGCGTCTGACAAGACTCACCATTGTTTCCCTCCTTGTAGGTCCATCCGGAGGCCTCAACTTGTGCTGGGCGCAATGTTGACTCTGTAAGAATAATAATAACAATTAAGTTCAAATCTTCTCTTATTTACGTGCTTTCTCAACAACCCAAATGCCAGTTGTAAAGGAAGCGCGGGTAAATGAAGGTAACAACGACACAAACACGTACACACAAAAGAAAAGACATGCCAACTTTCATCATTTACACAAGTATAAATTTCAATTGTAGTAACACAAACCATTATGCTGTGGGAAGAGAAAATATATAGACATAAATTCATATTGAATGAAATGAATAATTTAATAATTAAGGAACTTCTATTATAATGTATGGTTAAGAGAAATAGTTTTTGGTTCCAAATATGTTAACACAACATTGGCAACTCAAGGGTATCTACCAGAAGGACGATATTAGTTGAAGAGCAGACAGTATAGAAATTTCTCTGATATACCGAGGAGAAACTCGAGGGCCAACAATGTCCAAAAGAGAAGGGCACAATTTAGAGCCCAGTAAAACAGAATAAGTAAAATGCATTAAGTTGATACTTCCTCTTGCGTAAGAAGTGCAATTTTAGCTGCTCTAAAGCATAAGCATAAATGTAATGGACATGAGAGCAGAAACGATTGAGACACAGAGCCGCACACTTCTGCTGGATGCATTGTAGTTTGTTGGTATCAGCCGACGTAACAGAATTCCAAGAACAGATAAGTGTTCAAGCTCGAATCTGACTAGGTAAAATAATATGTATGGACATTCAAGCGTTGAGAAAGTGAAGGTTACGCTGCGAACTAGACCTAATAAATTAATATGTTAAGAACAAATTATAAATCACTCCGTCCAATGTGACCTGTAAGTTTTTTACTACGTAAAAACTTAACACCCTTACATGTTTCGGTCTCTGTGGACCATCTTCAGAGGGCAAACATCACTACAAATAGGAAACCACTATCACATAATTTGTTTACACGCAAAGTATGTACACATATGTTACAACACACAGTACACAGAATAGAACGTTTCACAAACACAGCAGTTTCCTGGGAATGTAAGTTTTAAAAATGTATAAGATTCCTTGATGCTAATTAAAAGTTTTTATTAAAAGTTTTTTTTTAGATTGTCAATGATTAAAATTCGTAAACCATGCAGGCTCGTGTTCGTCCTCCCATCGTCTCTCTTATATGGGGCAGATATTGTGCCACCTGGCTATCTTGAAGTGGAGGTTCTTTATATCGTCCAGGGTTTGCTCGTGGCTGCTGTGCATGTTAAGACCATGCATAACTGACGTGATCACGGCAATGAGCTTCAGAATCAAGGAACTCTATCAGATCTTTAATTAAGTTTGTAAGAATTACGAAGGATTGGAAAATATTATACTTGTATGAATGAATTAATTAATTAATGAAGGGTGGGCCATAATAATCCGGTCCTCGCACCGCGACTTTCAATGATCTACTGCGCTTCTCCTTCCGATTAACCCTTTATTAATCCTATATTTCGACTGAAATGTAGGATTTTCTTTATGGGGGCGTCATAGTAGTCACTTGGTTCCATAAAGAACTGGCTCAGGTGATGAAATCTTAAATAAGCTGTGGCCTCACAATCACATAGGACATGTGTGGCTGATTCGTCTTCTTGTAGGCACCTTTCGCAAGTAGGGTCGTCTGTCAAACCCAGTTTGAAAAGGTATACTTTTAAGTGACAGCGTCCTATAAATAGTCTTACCACTTATTTATACTTGTCGATACCTGTTGATTTTCTTCAGGAAGTAACCTTAGTTTTCCTAATATTTACTTTCGTACAGTGCACAGTACACCAACACTGTATATCGTCACGTATTAGTGATTAGAGAAATATTTTGGATTGGTGATTAGATTTACTGAAATTTTACAGCTCCTAAATACAATGAACAGCCCGACTTATTTATACGTAAATAGTTGTCGTTGGTAATTTCTTGGAAGCGACGGATATCTCTCCAATTTTGGACTTATTAGCTACTGACATAATTTTTTAAAAGTATTATAAACTGATCAATTCCATTGGATTGTTTACTTATTCTGTTTAAATTCACGTACACTACAATTTCCCGCTCTTTGTCGTACGGGTATACCTGACCTTTAATTTCGTAGAAAATTCTGGAGGATCCATCATACTCTTCCATCGTATAGTTTATTTTACTTAAAGTTGGTGCTGAATCTCGAATTAATACTAGCCATAGCAGTATGCTCGCAAGTTTGACCATTTTCTGAAAAAATAGAACAATCATTTACTATTTGCGCAGTTCCCTTTTTCTCTTTTAATAAAAGGGCTGCAACCTATTAATATGAAATTTCTGTACTGTACGCCATATTTTCATTTTTTCAATAACATTCTCTACTTCTATGACATCACAGGGTCCGAGCCACTCATTCTTTAGTTTCCTCGATCTTCCTTTTCATACCGTTTCGTCATATAGGAGAACTTATCTCCGATGTTTAACTGAAATTATTTTCATTTTGTGTCGAGTTATTCCTTACTCTTCTGTTAGGCTGTTACTAATTTCTGTTTTGCAACATCATGTGCAGTTTGTAACCTACTTTTTGATTCCATGACAGATTCATCATAATTGTATTGAGAGCTAGGCGCTTCACGCAGTGTCGAGGGAAATGTCGACTGGAAACCTTAACGATGTACATCCTTTAGTACTATGTACCACAGTACAAAATATATATATATATATATTGTGGAAAGCAAATGGAAAAACTACCACGTTATCACTTTTCCTGGATAGTCTATATGTATATATAGATATAGATAAGTGTGTGCATATATATATACACACACCTGGCATGAGGTACTCATTCGTCCCAGTTAGTTCGGTCTTCGTCGAAATAACGACATAAATATTCCGATAAGTCCTTGCGACTTCTTCTATCCTCCGTTCGATTCCAACCTACACTCTGTGATTTGTAGCCTCTTAATTTTCAATAACGTAGTATGTTTTTGAATAAATCACTAAAATATTTGCTCCCTGGTTTGTTAAAATTTGCATAGGGTCTCCCATCTTCAAAATAATCTTCAATACAAATTCCGTCGCTACTGTATCTGGGTCTTGCTGGGAAACTGCAACTGCAGTCATAAGTTTCCTAAGATCATCTTGCAATGTAAGTATATATACTTTCTGTTCCCTTTTTGTTCCCGGCAGCGAACCTACAATGCTGAAACGATATTCTTTCGAATGAGTGATATGCTATGGTCGTAATTTCCATCTGCACCCTTTTTCTTGGACTTAGCAATTTATTTGCCTGACAACTATTACGTTTATTTACATATGATTGTAATTTTTTCATAGTTTTTGCCCAGTAAACTTTTATTTGATAGTTTTATACAATTTTTCATCCCTAGATAAATAGATATCTATTTCTGCCACTTATATTTCATAAATTGGATATCGGGGGCACATGGAAACCTGAGCGAAAGCTCACCCTTTAGTATCTTCTATCTTCTTACTTCAGCGTTGCCAAGTTCCTTCTTGAACGCCTGTCGCTGACTTTGCTTGCACTGCAACTCTGCACGTCGGGTTGCCTAGTACTCCAGGGCTGTTTCCTGTCACTAGGATGATGAAAGTGTTTTCCCCGTTCTGTTGCAAACAGCTCGATGTAATGGTCTCTCTCACCCCCGATCCTTTCACTTTCGAATGTAAAATTTCCAGTAAAATTATCCTAAGGCTCCTTAACTCAGAAGAAACTCTGTCACCTTCCTGCGACTTGCTGTTGTCAGCTATAACTGCAGACACCACGTAACGTAAGAGGCTTCGAGCTTGCTGGAAGTACAGCAATGACTCCTCCACTTCATGCAATCCTGGATAGTCGTTTGATAAATTCAACTGACACTATTTACGCGAACTTTATCAGTCGCCAAAAATAAATGAAGTTGGTGTTGCCTTAACAGGCTTCTTCCTTCACTGGTGTACCACTAGGAGGCGATAGCCGGGCTGGTATATT